TAGAGGTCCCTCGGAAACTAACGCCGACAGAGCTACGCACTTGCAACAACACAGTGCGGTTTTGAAAGCCACACAAGAGAGAAGCATCACAATCCGCCGGACATTTAGGGTTTAGGACGTCTCACTGGAATGGATGCAAAAAACAGGTGTGCGAAGCGTTAAGTTTGTAAGGTTGAATGCCGGTGCATGAGGGCAGTAAAATACTTCCCTGTAAAAACATCAGAGTCCAGTCTGCGAGGAGTCAGGTATTTGGGAGGAATTGAAAGGAATCCCATGGAAACTTTCAAACTTGAGAGGATGCTTGAGCAAACTTGCGTAAGACATGTTCGCATAGTGAACAGTGTTCAAACAGAACAAGTGCAATGATGGTCCTGGTTGGGTAGTGCAGCCGTAGGCTGCGCACGGAGTGGCTTGCAGCACCTGGATCAGCATGTACGCAGCTCGTCCCCCTCACAATGATGCGGGGACTCTCTAGCCAAGCCGGTTAGCCTGTTTTCAAGCTCCTTAGGACACTAGACCCATGGATGTCGGTCATTCAATACGCAGCTCGAGAAATGTGCATGCGATGCCCCCTCGCCTTGCAATGGTCGAGCCTCAAGCCCTTGAGCTGGCAACATTCGTCCAAACCTTGGCCTTGAAACCTTCAGCCGGCGAAACCTCAAGCCTAGAAACAAGAGCCCGTCAGCCTCAAAGCGCAATGCCGAAAACGGGCCGGATACTCTTATGGTTTCCATCCGCTCCTGCCCTTCTATTACGCCATGACGGCCAGAACAAGCCAAGACGAGATCAGAAGGCAGATGAGGTTGGGTTTCAGGACGCGTAGCTTTGCACGTGGCTTTTGACTTGGCCACCCTCCTGGCCTATGCCCATGCAGCATGAGGCGGGATATCAATTGTGGCTTGTGTGTGTTCATTGTTTGAATTCAATGCTGATCACACAAAGGCGTCATTCATCCGCTAGAACTTCCTAGGCTATCCTCGGAAAGAATGCAGGAATGACAGTTACACTTCATGGAACTATCCTTTTGCAAGCTTGTGGGACATGTTTCCAGCTGCTGCAAGAGATGTGTTGCGTTTGGGGACGGGTGAGTGTCAGGCCATGGACGCCCATGATCTGCTCAGCAAGCGCACGGTCCCCAGAGCGCCAAGAAGCCTTTTGGGCCGACCACCCCGTCCATGACGCGAGGTGCCGAGATGGCGAGCCGACTGCGGCAGAACTTGACAGATCCGGCGAGCAGACCTGAGGGTGGTGCAACGCAGTTATTTGCTAATTTGGTTAAGGTTGCCCGAACAGTCTGAGGATCCGACAAGCTGTGCGCCAGCGCTGCAGCTCTGTGCCCCTGGAGACCACGGACAGAAGTTCGCGAGAGAGCAGGCGGTCTGTGTCACCTGGTCGATCAGCAACTGGCAGAAGATCCGTGTTCCCGAGGAGCAATGCGCGGCCGAAAGCTACGGAATCTGTGGACCACTGAGTGCTGCAACATGTTTTAGACCTCCACCAGAGCAGTTCTGTTACTGTTCGGTTGCAGGTTGCATAAAGACAGGACGCGAGAACGCTCGAAGTACGATGATGAAGGTGATGATGCTGTCGATGCGGCGATGGTGATGTTGGTGGTTTTGTCAGGAAGAGGATGGATGAACACAACGGCGAGAGTGTGGTCCTGATGGCGTATGTGTATGCTTGCGATGCGACGGAGGCAGGTCCCGTTGATTTTGGCCTTGTCGAGCCCATGTGAGGCCATCGTCCAGAGTTCTGCTGCAGGCCTGCGACTCACCACTTTTGGGGACATCTGTTTGCACTGACTGGCCAGGGTTTGGGAGTCGCAACACCAGCCGAGATCGTGGTCCAGGAGGTCCAGGTACCGTCGAAAGAGAGCTGTACAAACAACCCTCGCGTGGTCGGACTCTGTTCTCAGGCGCCTTGACCTCTCGGCCCACGAGCAGAGAGCGCACTGGAGGAGAGCTGTTGTCCTTTGCGTTTCTTGCTGGCCTAGCTGGCATATGCAGCGGCGCACTGCTGTTCAGGCAGTGCTCCTGGCGATTCTCAGCGCCGCGGTCTTGGCAGGGCATCACCAACTTTGACTCCGCCGGCACTGGGGGGGCGCAACTTGTGGGGCTGTCGAGGCACCGTCCGCAGACCGGGCACTGGCGTGCTTGCCTCGGAGCCAAAAAAAAACGCCTTTGCTTTTTGAAGTTCTGAGTCGTTGGGGGCCCAGGCGCTTCAGAAGTCCTCGTTCTGGCCTTGAAGTCTCTCCTTGAAGGCCCCAGGGCCCGGGAAGGCCTGGGGCAGCTTTTCAGGTCGACGGGAGCTCTGTCTTCCAGCTCCTCCGCGGCCGCTTCCAGGCAGCGGTCGAGTCGACGTCCGGCTTGGGCCTCAGTGGCACTTTTCTGTCGCTTCCGTAAGCTGCGGGGATGCTGCAAGCCGCCAGCCTTGCCGCAGGTCGCCAAAGCGCAAGCCGTGGTGAATGCAGAGCCAGCGCTCCCGGTATCCCGGTGTTGCGCCGTCACGTGCCGAGACGACCCGGATGAAGCAACTGAGGCCGATCCCGATCCGCGGTCGGCGCGGTGCAGACGATTCCCGCAAGGCAGGGTTCCTGTGCCTTGTGATGTGGTCTTTCGTGTCTTTGTCTCGCCAAGAAGATGGGTACTCTAATTAGGTTTTTCCGTTTTCCCCATGAAAAGGCGCAGAGGGATGATTGAGAGTCAGTTTGCCCAGTGCGTGAGTTGTGAGTTGGAGAGAACCAAGGTGCTGGAAGTTGGAAACAGCCGTGCATCTTAAGTTTTTGTTCCTTGTACAAAGCAAGATGCCGGATTAGGAGACAGAGTGCCGGGACGCAAAACAGAAACTGCTGAGACTATTGAGAAGTTACGGTCACCCAGACCATGACGTGGTCTCGCTACTTTCGGATGTTGTGCTTCTGAGGGTTCCTTACTGCCACCAACATGCCTTCGAGCTGCCTGCAATTCGCAGCCGGGTGGCTGTGCCTCGTGAGGTTCGTGACGTGCTGCCTGCTTGTTTCGAATTCGCACGGTTCGAACCAGGACCCAAGAGGCGTGTAGTGGTCCTTATCTGGGGAGGTAAATGCCCAAGCAGCATTGGCCAAAGCTGTGGGACACCAAGTGAACAAGCTGAGCACAGGCTCATGATGCTCATGTCTGGCCTGCATGCCGTCTCTGCGGATCTTAAGTCCAAGGTCGCGTCGCTGCTTGGCAACGGAAGCCGGCAGCTCAAGACACTCATGCAGCCTACACACGGCATGTACAGAAGACTGACTTAGGCTCCTCATCCGCGGTGGCAGCGGCCGTGCAAGCGGCCGCCGACGCTGGAGGGGCCATGCAAGATGAGCTTCTGAAGGCGGATACGGCGATGCGATGCGCTGCGATGCCATGAGCCTTGCTTTGGGCATGCCTGAGTCTGAGCCTGAGGTCAGTAAAAAGCTGGACCAACTGGAGCGTCAGCAGCCCAGCATCTCCCAGAAGCCTCTGAACACCTCCGCGGCTGTGTGCCGATCCGAGGCGAGAAGCAACAACTGGCTGAGAGTGGTCTCAATGTCCTGGTGGGACTCTCAAACGGGACTAAAGGTATCAAAGGGAAGGCCTCACTGGCAGTGCCCTGACACGCAGGCACGCTGCCGTTCGCAGAGCAGAACCAGACTGGCAACTTGCTTGGCATGATTCAGACCATAGTGGCGAAGATCTCTAACAAGGGCATCACAGACCCAACCAGCGTACAAGCATTTCGCCAAGATCCGCCACAGCAGATTGCAAGCAGCCCTGGACGACAGGCCCAGGACACACAGTTCGGCTTCAGGGCAGCACGCTCAACTTCACAGCCCATCCACATTATACGCAGACTCATTGAACGAGCTGACGCCACAGGCCAGTCCCTATACGCCATTTTGCTGGACTGAGAGAAAGCTTTCGATAAGATCCACCCAGAAGCACTCCTCACAGCTTTCAGCAGATTCGGAGTACCAGCACACCTCGCCGCCCTCATCAAGAACGTCTACACATCCCCACAGTTCACAGTCGCAACAGCTGGCCACAAGAGCACCACAGAGGAAGCACAGGCCGGCATCCGACAGGGTTGCCCTTTTTCACCATACCTGTTCCCCATACTCCACAGGATGATCATGCACGACGTCGGCCAGTAACTCACGGCCAACGGCCAGTTCCTCCCGTGGCTTTTTCAGCCCAAATCAGCCTTTCTAAAATTGGCTTACACCGACGACACAGCGATGATAGCATGAACTGCTCAACGAGCAAAACAGCTTCTACACACCCTGCCAAAAGTGGCCGCTCACAGCAACCTCCACCTCAACCTGAAGAAGTGCGTTCTTGTGAGGTCACCAACCTCACAGAGCACGGTCCACTTCCACAACGGCAGCCCCCTCAAGATTGAACAGCACGCACAAAGACATCATTACAAGACTCACCCAGGCTCGCAAACACTTTCACTCACTACACCAGTTTTGACGAAACACAGACCTCACACTCAAGTGGAAGCCTCGCATATACAACGCAGGTTTCATTCCACTCATCACATACGGCCTCGAATCTGCAGCCCACACCACAAGAGACTACAACGGACTCGAAGCTTTCCATTCACAAAGCCTTCGCCAAATACTCCACATCAAAAGCACCTCCTAGACTCCTACACTCAGGTCCTGCAGCCCACAGCACGCACTTACACCAACCAGGAGATACGCGCTCTCACAAAGCAGCCTCCCCTTACTCACCACATCCACAAAGCACAGCTGAAAATTTTTGGGCACATTCTTCGATCCCTTCCGAACTGTACGGAACGGAACTGCTGTTTTACGCATAAATTTCAGTACAGAGGCGGTCCATTGGACAGAACAAACCAGTGCATTAAAGCTGCTTGGCATTGGCTTTCAAAGTCCTCTAGACCACCGCCTTCTCACAGCCTTACCTTCCCCTACTCATATTTACAAGCTCACTGTCACAGACTAACTGTAGACCGCCAATTCTGGAGCACTCCAGTGAGGCTGCCAACGTGCAAGAGACTCCTCACAGCTACCTCCTTCTCAATTTGTTCACAGACTTGAGTTCGCTTGGAGCTGCTGCATGAGAGTTGCAGAGGGCCGTCCGAAAGGTAGAGGTTTAGCTTTAGGCCTTTACTGGGGCACGGCGTGGAAAACTTGCCATCTTGCTTTGTGCTCCACAAGTCGCTTCTGTCGCCGAAGCCCCCCAGGCCTCGTCGCCAAAGGATACCACGCAGGCGCCGCAAGCTCAGGCCCAGCGCTCGCTCGAAGAGGGTCTGTTTTTGAGGCCTTGCGTGGCTGAGGCCGGAGGGCAAGGAGGGCCCCAGCCCCTCGGGCCCGGAGGCGCGCGGACAGACCAGAGGCTGGGCAGCATTTCCGACAATGCAAAGCAGGCCGGAGCAGATATGGACAAGCTCGGCCCCAATCAATGAAGTTGGCAAACGTCTGGACGCATCTCCTTTGGTCCTTTTAGGCACCCTTGGCTGTTGGCCGATGGCCGCTTGGTCACCGCACATCTGCAAGGCCCGTCAGGGCCGGTCAGGGTCGGTTTTTCTTGAGGTTGTTTGAGATCTCCGTTCGAGGCGAGAACTTGGCTCTGAAACGGGCCGTCATGAAGGCACGGCGAGAGATTGACGAGCCTGCGCCCTGGCCCTTAGCCTATGTTCTGTGACAGAAGAGCCTCCGAAGAGACTGCGAGGCTTCTGAAAGGAAGAGCGGAGACGGAGGCGAGAGCCCGAGCGCTCAAGGAAGAGAACAGCGCGGCGGCAGAGGTTCGCAGGGAGCTGTAGAAGCGACAGGGAGACCGTTGTGTGGTGCCTTGCTGGTCAGGCGCTGCGACGATACACCAATGCTTGGATGCCCCAGGCCCGGAAAGTCGCTCTTTCTGCGGCACAGCAGCACAGCTATGCACAGCTCACAGGACTGGCAGAAGCCCAAGCCGGAGGAAGGTCAAGGCCTGGCCGGGCCGCGTGTCTGGTGCCGCCTTTGGCCGCTTCGCGTCGTACGCGAGGCCCTGCGGCCAAACAGGAAGCACCGAGGAGAGAGCGCACCGTCGCGGGGTGTCTTGCAGTTTTCCATGGGGCCCATGCAGGAGCCCGGCGCTCTCCGGAGTGTCTGGAGGATTTCAATTTGGCGATCTTCTGAGACTCTGCTAAGTCGAATCCCGGCTCGCCACAAGGAGCCAAACTCTCCACGCCGCCGGAGATCACAGGCCCTGGCGAAAAGCTTCGATGCCTGCTGCCGCCTTTGACCTCTCCCCTCTCAGGCGCTTCCGGAGCCGGATCCCCGGGGCCGGGCTTTGAGCCTGCGTTGGGTCGTGCTTGACTTTCCGCGTGTTCCGAGGATCATGCAGCCGGTCTGCACCGCGCTTTAGGCCAGAGCCCAAGAGCAAAGACAAGGGGGGGGGGCACCATGCAAGAGGTGCCCTGTGCTCTCCCACGGCCCAAGACTCTACCCAAGATAGCAGGCAGCAAAGCTTGTGTTTCCGATGATGGACTACTTGATCAGTTGCGGCTTGCCGGCTGTCAAGAACCATGCGGCCTTGCTACGCATGCCTGCCTTGACTTCTGTGGCCTGTCCCCATCGGCCACCAAACAACGCGCAGAACGAGAGGCCAGCGGAAGCTCAAGACGAGCTGCTCGAATCTCCATCAGAAGAGCGACGTTTGCTTTTCTTGGACGTGGATGGAGTGCTGCATCCTCTGCAGGTTCCCACGTGAACTCGGGTGCGGCTGCCTTTTTTTGGATTGAGAGTTGAAATTGAAGCATAGAGAGCCCATGCTGCAACCCTGAAGGTGCGAATGCTTGAGCAGACTCAGAAGGTCGACACATCGCACTGCTTCCAAGATACTTGTATGCGGGAGCTTCGTCGAGTTGTGTCCACAACCGGGGCGCAGATCATCCTCAGCTCGTCTTGGCGCAAGCATCTCGTCCGCTTGTGCTTCTAGCGAGTCTTCGGTGATGATGCTTCCCGGGGCCGCATGAATCTTGAAGTCGCTTGATGTCAGGTTTGAGAAGACCCGCCAGATGCTTCTGGAGGAGCTGGCGAAGCATGGCCTCTCCTTCCGAGAGTGGACCACCGTGGCAGGGGGCGAGGGCAGCGACGCGCGGGTCGACCAGATCCTGGCCTTCGTGACGGCCTCGAACGTCGACTCCTGGGCTGCCGTGGATGACGAGGACCCTCATCCTGCTTGTGCCCCCTGGCCCTTCTTGGCAAGAGAGAGCGCCCGAGAGCCCCCGAGCTTCTTCGAAGGATCTGGCACCCAGCAGTTCGCTGCAATCAGAGGGTATGATGAAGTCCCTGTTTCGACAACATTTTGTTCGCACGGATGCATCGCGGGGGCTTGATGCAGAGACGGCAGATGCGCTGATCCAGCTACTCTGCGACTCCTGAGCAGCTTGGTGAAGTGGATCTGCCGATCTACCGTTTGATGCTCTTCGAGGAGCGGTGGACAACCGAGGGCTGACAGGGCCACGTCCTGTCCCTGTGGCTCAGTTCGGCAGAGCTGGTGCCCGGCACTGACCCAGGGACGGTTACTGGAGGCCTCCTGTGACGAGTGACGCAGCTGATCTCCCTGCCGAAACGAAGAGGATGCCGAGCTGGCGCCAGAGAAACACCATGTGATTTCCTGAACCATGCTCCAAAAAGTAACGTTACTTTTGCTTCTGTTATGTTCCGTTACAGAGCGGCTCTTCGCGCACGGAGGACCCGGCCGAGGCGAGACCGAGACGGTCAATCTGACGGCTCAGGCGGGGGAGGGGAGGGAGGGGAGCTTTGCCCCGGCTCTCTGCCCAGCCTTTTCAACTCAGGCTCCCCTCAGCGACGAGGCACGCGAAAGGAACATCTGCGCCGGGAGAGGTTTCTGCTCAAAAATGGGCTGCAGGCAAGAAGCAAGCTGCTCCAGACCAGCGATGAAATCAGCCGCAGGATGGAGGTCAGATGGCAAGCCCTCGGTTGGTCTTGAAGGCTTCAAGCTGATTGCCTCGTGGCAGGAGTTGCTCTCACGCAGAGGGAAGCCACTGAAGGCATCGATGCGCTTACGGATATGTTTGGTGTGCTGCAGTTTCCTCATTCTCCCTTTGCCAAAGCCAGGCCTTGCTGGATCCCGTCTCGTAAAACCGTTCGGGTTTAGGGCACCATGATCGAGGCTCGGAGGGGGTGGCAGAGTGTGTGGAGTCGCAAGTCAGCGGCCTTTGGCAGTCTTTGGGCAGCCTTTGAGATTTTTTGGCTCTGAAGGGTCTCTCTCATCTGGCCCGTAGCCTTGGGCCGGATGGTGGTTCTCGGCTTGCAGGGATCGAGCCATGAGACCCTTCAGGAGGTGCGAAGGCAAAGCATCAACGAGGCAGGGGTGTAGGAGACATCAGCTCAGCTTTGGGCTGAGGCCTCTGCTCGGCTTTCAATCAAAGCGGTGGCTCACCCGTGCCAAGATATCTCAAGCGAGGAGACACGCTCTTCCTTAACAGGGGCTTCCGCGCACGGAGGGATCTGATCCCTTTTTGCTGGCTGGGGTTCTGTTGTAGGTCATGCGGTTGTAGGCCACTTTGCTCAAGTGAGGGAACGCCTTCGAATCATCAGTGCCACTGCAGACTGTAGGCTGCCTAAGCCCCCGTTCATGGAGCAACCGACGAGTGGCAGGCCGATCAGCGCAGGCAGCGCGGCCCGTTTCGGGCATTCTGTGGGCACAGCCTTGCAGCCCGGATCTAACAGTTCCCAAGAGCGGGGATTGTGGGGGGCATATGTCCGATCCTAGGCTGGCATCGCCGCTTGGACAGCCGTGCTTCAGTTGGGTGGACGGCGCTGCGCCATCGCTCGGCCGGGGTCCGAGAGGATCTCCGAGGCCTCTTCGACTTTGGCCGGGTTTTTGCCGTTTTCCCCCAGGTCCGCGAGTCGGCGCCCGGTGGCCGCAAGGCGCAGTCAGCGGCGAGCGGCGCGCTCGGCGCCGAGGCGACGCCAGAAGGCCGAGAAGACAATCATGCTGGCGTTCGGGGTGGACAAAGCGGATTTGCTGACGGATAGGCTTCTAACGAGCCTCTGTGTACCCTGGATGGTAGCTGGTATTGAGCGGTTTGGTGACGTGCTTTCCCCATGAGGACGGCAGCACGGAGAAGGTTGTTGTACAGCACAAGGACAAGGACTTCACAAACTCGTAAACGGAGTTGGAATTTTCTGTGTGCAGAAGGAGCCCATGGTGTCCATGCAGGGGCAGGACCTCCTTGTCGGATCCAAGACGCCTGCAGAGAATGCTCTGGAGCTTCTTTCCGGAGAGCCAGGTGCCCGCCGCGGGATGTTTGGACGTGCCTGTGCATGAGTCAAGGTTGCATGATGTTGCATGTGAGGCGGCAGCTTGAGCGCAGAAGATGCGGCCTTCACAGCGGCTGGCACGGCCGAGACCTGGCTAAATGAAGGCCGTGGCAGGTGCTTTTGCAAAGCCGTGGAGCCCAGGAGTGCCAGTCCATGGGGAGCCGCCTCGGAGCATTCGATGCCGCCTTGCGAGAGCTGACCCTAAAGCAGTGCATGCAACTTGGACACATTTCTGAGACTTTCAGGCGAATGAAATCATCGCGGACTGCATGGGCTCTGCCAAATTTTGCCCGAATTGAGCGTGCCTGCAGGCAGGATGTCCAGGTCTGGCAGCACAGCTGCAGTCAACATCCATTGCTGCAGCTGGTGGCTTGCCCTTCATCGAGCTTCTGCGAAGCCTGCAGCATCGTTTCTTGAGTCGCATCCTACATCGAGCGAGAGCATTTCGCCAAGGTGCTGCTGCACCAGGTCGGCTTGAAAGGTGGGCATAAGGCCGGAGCTGAGATGCGTCATGCTCGGAGTGTCTTCTTGATCTAACTCCAAATCATCGTGATGGGACAGCAACCATTCCCATGAAGACTCGAGATCTCACGAGTCACGCGAGGCGTGGTCGGCACTCGGGATCAGCGATGACTCGGTGTTGGACACTGTGGGACAGGCCTCGGGTGTGCTGTGTCCCTGGCTTTGGATTGAGATCATCTTCGTAGAGCAGCATGATGCCGTGGGTGGGCTTCGTTTTGCCGGGATCGCATTGAATGATGCTGCAGGTGGCAGTGCTGATCGATGGCCAGCACTTGGCAAGCTCGAAGAAGCTTGAAGAGTTTGACTTGATGCTAAGCTGAATCTTCAGCAGCCTCGTGGTTGTGCCTAGCACCACGCTTGCCACGTCGATGTACGCATCTGCGCGAAAGCTAGCCTCTTCGATGTACGCAGCCGAGGAGACCAGCTGCTCGGAGCGTTCTGCGAGTGTTGGGAGAGGACATTTCTTTTCGCATGTGAACTGACAACCTGGTGTTTGCCCGGTTCTCTGTCGTCTCTCCTGGTGGCAGCGATTGCTTTGCGCCCTCGCCTCGGCTTGTGCTGCCCCGTCATGTCTCGGCGTTTAAGCTTTAAATTTGACAGGCTGCAAGGGAAGCTCTCCCTGCACGCTCTTTGGTCTTCTCTTCTGATGGCCTTTTCATCCCTTCCTTCCTGTTCCTTGCGTGCTTCGCAGGAGCGGATCGCCTCGTCAGCGCATGCCATGACCGCCAGCCAAGCGCTGGCCCTCCACGGGCACTTCGCCGAGGCAGCTGGGCTCTCGTATCAGAGACAGAGATCCTAAACCCCAAACCCTAAACCCTGGAAGATCTCCTTGTATTCTTTGCCAGAAGATCCACAGGGCCGATATGTGCTGAGCAGGATGGTTTTTTTTTCACTCACTGCAGCTTTCTCTCTTTCCTCCCACGCAATCCCGCGGGATATGCAACTGGCATGTTCGCAGGAGAGCTCGTCTCCGCTTGTGTTGGTCTTTCGGTTGATGAACGTCCTTATCAGCTTTCTGCGTGCTCACGAGGGCCTGGAAAAAGATGGCGAATTCTGGGTCGTTTCGAGTGGCTCAGGCTAGAAGTTTCTCTGAATGTAGTTGTGAAAAGGCAAAAGCAGGCACGGTGTATTGCCAGCAGAACTTTCAAAGCACACACGGTTAGGTCAGTGGTTTAGTCCCGGGTCAGGCACTTCCCTCTTCGGCGTTGTTGCCGTTGCTGGAAGCGGCGCTCGCGGATGCTGCAACGGCGCCCTTGGTGGAGGTGCCAGATGCGATGTTGAGAACCACTGACCCGGCGCTGTGGGCTGCAGTGACGGCTGTGACAGGAGCACGTTCTGTCCCTTGCTCTGGCTTTGGAAGCTGACGGCACCCTGGCCCTGAGAAGGGATGTTGCCTTCTGGTAGCTGTTCCGTGCTGGCCTGATCATCTCCCAGGTGTACGGACCGTTCTGAAGCCAGATGCTAGATAGCTGAAGTTGCTAAAGAGCTTCCAGATCAGGTTCACCCAGTGTCAGTCCACAACAGGGGCTTCAGCTTCAAAGAAGAGATGGGAACCCCCGTTGGGTGGATGAACTCCTTCGTGCTTCCAGGCCTGGCTGAGAAGTGCGTCTGGGAGAAGTTCGCCTTGCTCCTTACGCGCTGCTGGTCCAGTCTGGACAACAGGCCTGGAAGAGAAGCAGTTGCTAAGCTAAGCATGACTGGATTCCGGAACCAGGTCCCTGCTGGCGGCCATGTTGGTTTTGCCGGAGCTCCTGAGAGCAGCACCAGGCTCGGGACTAGCTCGGGACTAGAATGTGGTGCCTTGGCGAAGGGAGTGCCGGATTGCCATAGGGGGCCCATGTGGTGCTTCGTTGAACCGATTTTGTGTAGACCGCCCGCACGCACTGCACTTTGGCCAGAACGGCCTGTCTTGCCTTAGCTGCGCCCCTGTTGCTGTTCAGTAAAGTAAAGCATTCCTCTGCCTTCCTGCTTTGTGTGAGAGACTCGAAGGTGACCTGGAGTCAGCATTGGTGCCTCTCTGTGAGACCAACTTACTGTCTTCCCTTCCATATGGCTGCTGCCCGGCGGCACCTTTACATGCCACCATTTCGTCGCATTTCGGCACCAAGCCAGGTTTTTGTTGAGAAGTTTGAGTCACTTTGAGTCTTGCTGAGGTGTTGTCTGGCTGCTGGACTCCTGGGCTTCGTGCGCCAAGGGGAAGCGCTTCCCCAGTTTGCTGGCGCGGCTGCTTCGGCCTGCCGTGGAACGCCATCTGCTGGATTTCGACGTCAGGAGGCGCAGGGGGGACCGTTTGATGCACGTCAGGTCTTGGTGATTCTGACTCTTGCCGATGAAGATGAACAGCCGAAAACCTATGGGCCAATGCCTTCTGTACGGTTTGTACTTGATCTCTTGTGGGCGTTGTAGGAACATCTGAAGTCTCGAACATCACAAGCCTTGGTGGTCCTTTTTTCACCGTCTTGATCCCTTCCGTACTCCGAGTTCGGCAGAACGCTGCTCGGCCTTTAACTTGGCACGTGCTGAAGGCACGAATTCTGCCCCGGCAGCTTGTGCAGCACGGGTTTTCCGACATGCCGCCCCCACTCGGAGAATTTATGTTTGCCCTCGTGCCAGGAGCTAGTTAGAGTCTAGAAGTCTGAACTATGGCCTAGAGTCCAAACGGTCGCAGCCATGCCATGGCTACTTACTGCCCAGCCGTGAACTCTTGTAGGTGTGCATCAGGATCAGCATGTTGCGCCGTGTGCTTTTCTGGCGCAGGCTCATAGCAGCCTCCCACATATTGGACACCTGTGATGGTGACGGGGTGGTGGATATTCTGCTGTTCTGGCAGAGCTGGATGGAGCATTTGGTGTCCGAGTGCAAGGCTGGGTTTCAGATCGTGCCGGTGTAGATCCCCAATTAATGATAAAACACCACGACGACCATGACGACCACGACGACCACGGCCACCAGGAGACCACCCAGACACTACCAAAAGACCACCCAAAGGCCAGCAGCAGCAGCAGCAGCAGGAGGCCACCGAAACCTCCTGGCGGGCGCACCTCGTGCACTAAAGCAACGTCCTTGACCCTTCGTGAAACCTGAGAGCCCCACACAGCGTGTATCACACAGAGTTGCTGAAGAGAGGAAAAGGGGTATTTTTTCTCTTTCGTTGCGAGTTGCGAGGTGAAGACTTGGCGGTGGAGCAGATGTCAAGAGGCATTGCGGGAGGTGGCTCAAAGCTCAACTCTCCGTGAGACGCAAACTCCGAGCCTGGGGGACATGATCATGGAAGGCACAGCCGAAGATGGCTCTCTTTCCATGCCTCTCCCTGCATATGTTGAGCCATGCACGCATGCTGTCAGGCATTCTCCTGACGGATTTGGTCCGGGCCAAGGAAGACTTGCCGTTGGAGCTGCTGCTTGCGCTTCTGCTGAAGACCTGAGAGAGCGCCAAACAAGAGAGAGAGCGAGAGAGAGAGAGTGACACCAAGACGAGCCGTGCTTGCTTTGGCGTCGAGACATCTTCCATGGGTGGAAAACTGTGCAAAACGGTTAAAATGTGAAAGATTTATGATATTGTGCACTACCGCAGCTCGCCGTAAAATGGCAAACATGGAAAAAGGCGGTAAGACTGTAAACCAGGCCACCGTGCCAAAAAGCAAAACGGTAAAAAGAGACGGCGAAGCGAAGGACAAGTAGCAGTGCCAACGCAGGCCACTGAACAGAAACTGTAAAGCACTGTGAAGCAGTAAAGCCTCCAAGCGAACACGGCAAAAAAATGATAAATTAGAGGGAACGAAACAAGCCAACGCCGGGCAGGGTACCAGTAGAAAGTTGAACGAAGAGCAGTCGAAGAGCCCTTTATCACGCACAACTGCAGCGGCTTCTGTTCCAAAGGTTTGATGGTGAAACCCTCTCCCATAATCGTGAACCCCTCTCTTCTCAGAATGGATTAGACCATGGACCTCATCAGTGGTGGTGCCATGGATGCTGCCTTCTCAGAGCCGATTAGACATGGACATCATCAATTTTGGGCCGGGCCATGGATGCTGTCTTCTCAGAACGGATTAGACCATGGACGTCATCATGGTCGGGCTCTCTTCTCACTCTTCCCAGAACGGAGTTGACCATGGACGTCATCATGGTTGGGCCACGGATGATCTTCTCCGAACGAATCAAAACAGCGAAAGCTAGGCAAGACCGCAAAACAGTAATTAAAGAATCAAGGCGTCCGAAACATCAAAACATCGGCAACACCGAGTGAAGTCTCATAAAACACGGGCAAAACAGGCCCAAACTCGAGTTCAGGACACGAAAGAGACAACAAAAGCGCACGCACGCGCACGCGCACACACACACACACAATCAACGTGAACACTTGGAAAAGTGCCTCCTTGAAAAGCCCTCAAGCCCTGAAGCTCTCGTTCAACAAGCCCTCTAGATGGGCTCTGGAGCCGTTAATTACTCCTTTAAAAATCCTGAAGCCTCGAGCCCGGCGCGGGCAGGTCATTCTTCGCGATGCCCCCCTAAAACCCTAAAGCCTAGAAACCCTCAACCCTAAACCCAAAACCGGAGTCGTAGAGCCCTTCTGTTCTTAGGATGTGGGACGCCGCCTCCCCAAGGAGGCTCGAGGCGAGCTCCAAGGAGCGCTGGCGGGCCACTGAGCGCATAGAAAGAAGGGGTTTAGGGTTTTACTCGTAGGGTTTACTCTGAAATTCGGACAGCCGCTTTTTCTTCTCCTTCTTGGCGCTTTTTTTTCGAAGTCTTCAGCTCCTTTCTCTTCTTTCCTTTTCACTGAGAGCTCTGTGGCGCTGCCTCTGGCGCTGCTTGCTGCAGGAGCCTTGCAGGAGCTGCTGTGGCACTGCCTCGCGGGACGCGGGGGCGGCTTGTCGCTCCTGAACGCCGTCTCTGTGGCGCAGGGGGAGGCCCGGGGATGCAAGGAAGGGTTTAGGGTTTAGGGTTTGGGGTAAGCCATGCTTCCCTTGCTCTGGCAGCCCCCTGGCAGACCTTTCTTCCATGCGAGCCTGGTTCGAAGCTCTTCGACGCTCTCGTGGACCACATCGTGAAAGTGCTTCGGAAGACGTCCTCAGCTTCCTCCGTCAGCTTCTTCTGCTGCTTGGCACTCTCAAGCTTCGTCCGAAGGAAGATGCAACTACAACATTACAAAAACCCTAAACCCTAAAAACCCTAAAACCCAAATCCCATTCAGGCCGCTGCCGGCCAAGCCCGGCCTTGCGGCAAGCCGTGCTCACGAAGCTGAGAGGTTGGCAGCGGCTGGAGCTCAGCGTCTGCTGACGCGTCCTTCCTGCCCTGAGAGACTGGCCGAAGTCCGTCTCCCAGTTGCATGCAGCTTGCAATTGCTGAAGCTGCAGATTCACTGCAAGGCTTCTAATCATTCCTCCTCGCCAGGTCCAGCGAGGAGCACCTACAGGGCCTTTTTTATAGGGGCAGATGCCCTGAGGCTGCATGTCCTGGTTGGGCAGAGCCTTCATCGGGCTCACAAGGGCCTTCAAATTCGTGCACAAAAAAGGGGCGGTGACGCACATGCTGCGCCAACATTTTCCAAGCCGCCGTTGTTTGCACCGCGCCTCGGACCCAACGGCAAGATCCTTGGTTTTGAGAGCTTTTTGCGCCGGGATTTCAAAGCCACGGGCACATGCGGGTAGTCTGAGCGAGCCTCCATCATCTTCCGTGTTCCATCACAGGGCTTCAACTCCCAGAGCGGCTGCAAGTGCGTTGGCAGAGGTAGCAGCGTCCATGAAAAGTCCGATCCTCTGGCAGCATGATAGAGGCAGCAAAGTGTGTTCATGTTGTCGCTTGACGCTGCATACCCTCTGCCTATACTAGATCGCTTGCCACGAAGCGTCTCTATAGCAGTTTTGTCAACAGAGCAATGTCGATTTAACTGCCCACTGCGGGACACTCGCAATCTGTAGCGTCCTTGGCCTCTGCACCTTGCAAGGTCGCGCAGCAGGGCAACTGTACAAATTGCAAGAGCAACGGTGGAGATGAGCGCTAGAAGTCGTTGCGGCTTTCTTGGAACCCTGTTGACAAGGGAGCCTATCATCTCCACCGGAGTTTTTCTATCGATTCCCAGTTTTGGCTGCAAGCTTGCAAGCATCCGAGGCGTTGTGCGCCTTGAAGGCCCCTCACACCTGGAATCGCCGGCTCAGCTTGAGCTGTTGAAGTGGGCTTGGGTAAGGGCACTGAGCAGTGCGAGCAGGCGACAGGTGGGAGAGCAGCAAGATTTGGGCCGCTACGGCTACGGTCTGTAGCAGACTCTGGGTCCTATCCCTGACCCGAATCTTGCGACACATGCCCGGCCAATCTGCACGGCAATCGACTGTGCGTTATGGGGGAACGCATTGAGCCCAAAAGCCAAGCCTAGAGGAGTTTGTGCTTCACTGTCGGGGGTCTCGCCTGCACCCTGCCGGAGGTCAGAGAATTGCCTGGGGGAGAGCACCGCCAGAAGTCCGCGCCCGGAGCCGCAAGCTGCCAGCTCCCCAGCCCGGCCGCCGCCCGCGCGACGTGGCGACGGCTCTGAGATGGGCTGACTCGAGCCAATGCACGCTCAAGTACCGCTCGGTTCAGAGAAAACAGGCGACATGGAGCGGGGTCTACGAGTTCGTGCAAAGACAGGCCACACCAACTGTTTCAAACTGGGCTGTCATGTCGCCATCGTCCTTTGCTCAAGTCGCGCCCAGCGATTTAAGCCACAGGCCGGATAGCCAAGACCTGCTCCCTGTGCCGTCCCTTCCGCTCCTTCGTATCGCCGATCGTCGCCATGAAGCTCAACATCTCGAATCCCACCACGGGGATGCAGAAGCTGGTAGAGATCGACGACGACAAGAAGCTGTATCGAGTTCTCAAGCGAGGAGGTTTTTCTATGTGTATCTTAAGGAGCATCTGACTCTTGCAAGTTGCATCGGAGCGCCTCTGCAGTGTGTTTTTTCAGGTACCCGCTCTTCGACAAGCGCATGGCCAGCGAGGTTTCGGGCGACTCTTTGGGAGATGAGTTCAAGGGCGGCCAACTGAGTTTATCGTACATTGGCCCTTGTGCAAGTGCAAGCAGTCGCTGCGAAAGCAACTTGGCTAAGCCCGAGGTTACGTCTTTCGCATTGGTGGTGGCAACGACAAGCAGGGCTTCCCCATGAAGCAAGGTACCTGCTTCAGATTCAGATGTCGGAAAAAAGGCACCGCACGGCCGAACATGCTTGCTGCTTGAGTTGTCCGAGGCGTGATGAGCAACAACCGCGTGCGTCTCCTTTTCAAGAAGGGGATGTCCTGCTACCGTGAGCGCCGTTCCGGCTGCCGCAAGCGCAAGTCGGTTCGAGGCGCTGGGGTTTCCCTTTCGTGAGTCGTGATGGCCGTCGTGGCCTGGTAGAGCCTGGTAGGGCAAAGTCTTTGCTTGCTGGATGCGAAGGGACCGTCGACTGCATGGGTATTACTGTCGGAGGCTGCATCGTGGGCCCGGACCTGGCTGTGCTGCACCTGGTGCTGGTGAAGAAGGGCGCAGAGGACATCCCAGGCGCCGGCCGTGTCCGAGTTCCACAGGTCCGAGATCGGGGAAGAAAAGCGCGCGCGCAGAGGCCTCACTGACGACCAGAAGCCCCGCCGCCTTGGCCCAAAGAGGGCCTCCAACATTCGAAAGCTATTCGGCTTGGAGAAGAAGGAGTCGACTTCCCGTCTCGTGCGTTTGCAGAACGCTGCACTGCCTGGAGCCTGCAGGACGACGTCAGGCAGTTCGTGGTCCGCCGTGAGATCAAGGAGGGCAAGAAGACCAAGGCCCCGAGAAATGCTCCGTTTTGTTTTGGACGGCGCGCCGACGGGGGCAGAGGAGTGCTTTTCTTTTTTTTTTTCCGCGCGCCCGCAGGCACCCAAGATTCAGCGCCTGATTACTCCCCAGCTCCTCCAGAGGAAGCGCTACTTCAAGGTGTGTGCCGGGAGATGCCTCCCGCGCGTTGTCGCGCTCTCCCCTGCTTTCTGCCAGGCCATCACCCGGAAGCGCATGGAGGCCGGGAAGGAGGCCAAGGCCGCCTACGCCCAGCGCCTCATCGAGTACCACCACGAGCAGAGGGAGGCCCATGCGGCCGAGATGGCCAAGAAGAAGAAGAAGAAGAACGCCTAAGCGCGTGAGTTTTGGCGTGTACGCGCCGGGGAGCCCGGGTTTTGCCTTCGCTTTCTCACCGCGACTCTGTGCGATTTGGCTTCTCTCAGGTCAATCGGCATCGAAGTCCTTTCGGCGGAAGCATGGCTTGAAGCGAGTGGGTAGCCAAGGGCTGGAAAAGAGCTGCGGGGAAGGGGTGGGCCATAGAGGCTGCGTGAGAGGGCTGCTCAGGCTCCGGTCTCATCACATAACGTGGCATGTTGCAGGGCGACGGCTCAAAGCGAGTGCCTCGCCCCGGCAATGTCGTGGATAGCCGTTCTCGCGGCTGCCATCGACTCAGCCCACCCTCTTCCCATCGCTGTCCCAGTATCTGCGAATTCCCAGGCGACGGCCCTCTGCTCCTTTGGGCAGCCGCGCGCTCGGCTTGTCCAGGAGCTGAGCTGCGTGAGCTCCTTGTGACTCCAAGGAGGGCCTTTCTGGCCAATACAGCGGCGCCTACGCCGGCGACACCGGCATTGCGAGGTTCGCCCCCGCTGTCTTGGCCTTCGAGGCTCCTTTAGTCCGAGTTCGACCTGCTCCCAGGACGCGCCAGCCTTCGGAATGAGAGCAGTGGGGCACGAGGTGAGTGTCTTGAGCACCAAAACCCCCACAACAAGCTCCCGGCAACTCCGCGGAGCGCGGAGCGTGTTTTTGTTCAACATTATCATGTTCCGGTGGGTCAGGCTTTGGGCTGGTCGTCGGAAGCGCCGCTCTAGCACTGGGAGCCGGGAGCCTACAGCGGGATCAACGGCATGCCATGGGGGGCGAGGTGAGACACAGCATTCTGAAGCCGCAGCTGCGAGGTTTCTGTTGGAAGGCAAGAGAGGACCAGGAGTGCCACCTCGGTCCGTGCTGTGACAGAGGTAGCGCAGGCGGGATGGCAAGTGGAAGGGCGGGAGCGCTTGGCTTCGCTGTTCTCTCATAGGTGAAGTTGTCCAAGATCACTGGCGGGAAAGCGAGCTCCTCAACTCTTGGAAACCGTGTAGAGGCAGGTAGATGCAGAAGCTTGTTCATTCCACCGCCTGTTGCTGCCAGACGGGCTCAGACGTTTGTTCCGCCCGGCTTTCTCTTTGCTGGGGCAACAGTTCCGTGTCTTCGAGCCCTCCATGTCTCGGAGCTGCGGGGGCGTGACTTGGGAACATGGCGGTCGGCGAGATGCCGTCCTGCGTCGCGCACCCCCATGCTTGGGGCGCCCAAGCTTGGGCGGAGGCGAGCAGGGCAGGTGGAGTGGCACGTGACCCTGGACCTCTTGGCCGAGCTGCAGCTCCGCAGGCTGGGCGAGATCACAGAGAGCGCGTGCACGAAGTCAATCGGCAGTCGGTGGCGGCATGCGCTGCTCCTACTCGCACACACTAAGTTGAAGTGCTTGCAGCTTGGGATCGTCAGTTTCACTTCGTTCATCCAAGCGTGCAGGCAGCAATGGGAGGAATGTGCTGGTCTCCTGAACCAAGTTGGCCAGGAAGGTTTGGAGAAAGACATCATCCTGCTCAGCGCAGCAGGCAGCGCAATCGGGAGCTCTAAGTGGCAGGCAGCGGTGGCTTGCGTGAGGGCAGCAGGCACTTTACGGCTACAGGCAGATGCCCAGAGCTGCAGCCTGGGAATCAGCACATGTGCCGCGGTGTTTCAGTGGAGGGAAGCTCTAGCTTTGCAGCAGGATCTTCGTAGAGGCTTGCAAGCCGATGCGGTGGCGTTTAATGCCGCTATCTGTTCTTGCCAGAATACTGGAAGATGGCAGCAGGCCTTGTGCCTGCTGGTTGTCATGGAGAAGATGGGGCCGTGCCCTGTGGTGATATCTTTCAGTAGCACAATGGGGGCATGCGTGCAAGCCACAAAAGAGTGGGGGAGGGCCTTGGTGCTTCTTCAGATGCTTGCCAATCACGGCATGCAGCCTACACAAATTGTGTACAATACTCTTGCCGGTGCTTTGGGATGGCACGGTGCCTGGCAGTTGTTGGCAGATCTGCGCAAGAGACGTAGCTTCGACGTGATAACAACCAATGCCACCATCAGTGCCTGCGCAAAGGCAGTCGCGTGGCGACAGGCGTTTTTCATAGTGCAGTACATGGGGGAAGCCCACTTAAAGCGAGATGCGACAACGCTCAACACCAGCCAGACCGTCTGCCGGAAGGCTTTGCTGTGGCAGCGAAGTCTGGCCATCGAGACCTGGAGGCAGGCGCTGAGCGTCGCTTCTGGGACTTGGGCCGCTGCCGCCGCTGCCTTGACCCACGCAGACGAGAAAGGCGACGAGGCAGCCTTGGGGACCACGATCGGCTTCTGTGCCAAGGGCTCCGAGTGGTCCCGGGCACTGGAGCTGTTGCGGGGAGCCGCCATCCTCGCAGTCCTCGTCAATGAGATCATGCTCAACGCAGGCATCCACGCCTGTCAGAGGGCCACCAGCCCTGGCCACCAGTGGCCTGCGGCCATGAATCTGTTTAGCACGATGGCAGCATGCCGAGTGAGCTGGGACGATGCCAGCTGCGTTTCCCTCATTGCTTCTGAGGACGTCGGCCGGTGGATGCGTAGTCTTTCATGTCTGAGCCTTTTCGAGATGCATGGGAGGCATGGCTCTATCACTGCACTCAATGCTGCAGTCGGGGCTTTGGCTGCTTGTGGTGGGTGGTGCAGGGCAGTGTCCTTGTTGCAGGCTACTGCAGGCAAGCTCCGAGCCAACGAAGTGACCTTCAACAGTCTCATCAGCTGTCAACGGCGGGCCGGCTGGCAGTTGTCATTCTTCGCACTGAAGTCCCTGCCTCAACGGTCACTGCTTGCATCGCTGCCCGCTTACAGCGCGACGATAAGTGCTTGTGAGAGGGCTGGAGATTGGCAGGGGGCCACGCTTATGTTGCGTGAGCTTGAGGCAAGTCGCATCAGGACCGACAGCATAGCCTTTAACGCCGTGATCAGCACTTGTGAGAAGGCTTCGGAATGGCAGCGCGGGCTTAGCATTCTTGACCAAATGACTTCCCGGTCAGTTGAAGCATCTGTAGTCACGTACAACGCTGCAATGAGCGCATGTGGGAAGGCAGAGAAGTCGGAAGTCGTTCTCGAGCTGCTTCGTCATCTTGAAAGCAGCTCGATGCTGCTGGACGTGGTCAGCTACAATGTTGCCATTAGCGCTTTCGGCCTTGCCGGTCGCTGGCGCAGAGCGCTTCAGATGCTTGCAGCCCTCTCCCAGCCCTCTGCCGCCTCCTTCGGAGCAGCCGTCTCTGCTTGCGCCACGGCAGCAAAGTGGAAGCAAAGTCTCTTGCTCTTCACAGAGGCAAAGAGCAGGTCCTTGTCAACAGTCATCACGCTGAGTGCGGCGGTGAGCGCATGCGCCCGTGCGCAGCAGTGGAAGTGGTCCTTGTCGCTTTTTGAAGCTGCTGAGCGCTTCAACACTTCTCCAGACATCGTTACATGCATTGCTACCGTTGCTGCCTGTGCAGCGGGCAGTCGCTATGCCACGGTACATGTGTTGGCAAAGTTGATGTCGCGAACACACGAAGAGCTCGTCGCACGAAAGCCTAGGGCCTGGGCTGCTGCAGAGCAGGAAAACAGAGCAGCTTTGGTCCAAGCCAAGCATGTCACCCACTGACCCTGTCGCGGTGGGCCGAGGCCACGCCAGCCCCACCAGTGGGCCCTGCCATTGGGGCCTTCGGCTTGAACATCGCCATGTTCGTGAAGGTCCTGATCGCTGTTGAGCTCCTCAGTTCTCCCTTCGTTGCCTGCCAGGAGTACAACGCTTTGACTGCAGACAAGGCCTGCCCCTCGGCCGCATTTGGCAGATGCGAGAGAGAGCTCTCTCTCTGGCGCCAGGTCGGCCAGACCTGCCCTTGCATCGTCCATGCCACTTGGTCCATAAAATTCAACCTCTTGAAGCGCAAGGACCTAAGGATTCGAAGGCCCCCCCCCCGGCCCATTTCATGCAAAGGTCATGAGCGACAAGAGCTTCAAGATCGAGCTGAAGACACCGCTCACAGCTGCGCTCCTCCACAAGGTGTTTTTGGCGAGTGTCTTGCGGACTCTTCCTTCTTCCCAAGCTCCGGCAGGCCGTGAATAAACAAAAAGGCTCTGGCAAAGCAGGCCCCGCCATACCGACTTGTGTTTTGACTGTGTCGAGCTCTTCGTATACATACGGTACATTCACGATGTACATGTGGGCAGTTCTCCAAATCAGGGTCCCTTTTAGGTCCCCAATATAGTACGGAACACTTCTAACAAGGACCCCAAAAGGGACCAAGGGACCCTAATTCAGAGAACTACCCATGTGCATGCACAGACTCAAGGGGCTTCCGGAACCGATGCTGACCCTATACGGGTGGAGGAGTGGCTTGGGGGAGATATACTGGCAGCTGACGTAAAGTGACATTATGAACCGAAGCCTTAGCCGTGTCTGCTGGCAAGAGGGCTTGCGATAGCTTCCCGGTCCTATACATGTGCGTATTTCCTTTCAGTTTTCCAGCAGTTGTCACTGCATAAGTTGTTGTGCTTTTGTGTATGCAAGCACGCCTGAAACCATGCAGTAGATGATGCAGCACGTAGGATGTATAGGTCCGCCACAATCGCGCCCCTATCCTTGCTGCCCAGCCCCCGACATTCAGAGGGTAGAAGTGGTTTGGTCACCGGCAGTTAGCCTGGAGCATGGAGTAATAGAGTGAGGAAAATCAAAGGCACGAGTGTGCCCGCTGCTTCGTATCGTCGGGACAGGGTTATCACACCCATGCGTGCACATGCACGCTCTTGCGGCGGACTGTGCGACAGCTCCACCGTCCAGGCACAGACATCATCGGCAGCATCACCATCGAAAAGTTGGAGGAGATTGCGAAGATGAAGCTGCCGGACTTGAACTGCGAGGCCGCGGGGCGGGGACTCAGCAGATCAAGGGCTCAAGGTCGGACTGGGCCCTTGATCCGGTGCGCATCACGGCTTGATCTGGCACTGATCCGTCCACCCTTGATTTTCCTAGAGTTTTGAGCATCCTGCGAGGACATCACCCGGGCCATGAAGATCGTGCATGGAACGGCGGTGGCCTCCGGCATCAAAGTCGAAGGCTACGAGGAGTGGATGGAGACCGCTGTGGCCCGTGCTGCAAGCAGCATGAACCTGACTTGCACGGGAAGTCGGCATCGACCCCAGACACTGCAGAGCCTCAGGTGCCGAAGCCAAAGACAATCATGGACAGATACGGTCCAGGTGCTCTGATCTTCCTAATGTTAACTTTTGCAAGATTCTTTCCGTTGTAGAGCGTGCGTGGCTCGGGCTTGGGCCCAATCGGTACAGGGAACCTGACGGTCATCTGAAGCGAAAGCTTGCATCAAGCAATGCGGGTTTCACAAGACAAGCACGCGCTCAGAGCATGTCAACTTGGGGTCAGAGGTGAAGACATAAGCCCCAGAGGCAAAGCAAAAAAGGTTGTTGGTCGTAGGGTTTTCCACTTACTGGTTGTCATCTGTTCACAAGAAAATCTACGAGTGCATGTATTTGCAGATGCATGCCTTCGTACATACTTATAACTTATATATACAGTGTATATATATATACATATATATGTATGTATGTATGTATGTATGTATGAATGTACGTACGTAGTTATGTATGTATGTATGTATGTATGTATGTAAGTATGTATGTATGTATGTATGTATGTATGTATGTATGAAGTATGTATGTATGTGTGTATGTATGTATGTATGTATGTATGTATGTATGTGTATATACATATGTGTATATATACACACACATAGGTTTGATGCATGCAAACTACATGCTTTCCATAAGCTGCCGTCAATATTCCACGGCTGTTGCTGCTGCTCCTCCTCCTCCTCCCCCTCCTCCTCCTCCTCCTCCTCCTCCTACTGCTTCTGCTCCCGCTCCTGCTGCTGCTTGTCGCAATACCAGCACTGTAACTCCTTTAAGTGTTGCTTTTTGTAGGGTTTCTTTTGCTGTTATGGTTGCAGTTTCGCGTGCATGCCTCGAAGAAGCTTTCATATTCTTGATGTCTGACTCAGATTGGCCAGGAGTGGCCAAGTTGCCGGCACCATGGGGCGAGGCCACCTTTTGGAATGGATTGGTCGCCCTGCCAATAGCTGGCATAAACCAATGGTAACCCTAAACCCCTAAACCCCTAAACCCCTGAACCCTAAAATGTTGCTTCCTTCCTGCCGCGAGGGGCCGCCACTGGAGGCTGCTGGAGACGAAGCAGCTGAGCCAGTTGAAGCAGCTGAGCCAGTTGAAGCAGCTGAATAGGTGCTGTGAGAAATATTGTGAGTATTAACCACCACAGCCTTGAGCCTTCTTGATAGTGCTTGATAGTCGCGCGATTCTTTGGGACCCCCTTTTTGGAGGGCTTCTCTTGGGGTCTGGCCTTTGGTTGCCGTAGGTCGCTAGACAGGAAACGCCGCTGCAGCTCCGAAAAGGTCAAGTGCCGCCGATCTTGCCCCCCCGCTTGTGATTTGGCACGCATGGGATAGGAGGGATCCTGCGATTGCAGGCCATGGCTCAAGTTACGGCCTAGCGGCCGCCATGCGCCGCCTCCTGCAGACAATACTTCTGCTGTTTTCGGCAGGGAATGTCGTCGGCGTGACGACATGTCTGCCAGATGCAATTCCAGAGGCAGATAGACAGAATGTGGTAGTAGATGGAGAGTCGATGCCTCTCGGCATTTGGACTAGCAGCTTTGATTCCTCCACGATCGTGAGCAAGATCTACGAGATCATTGCGCAAGACTCTGGGCATCAAAAGGGGAATGCAGTTCGCACTCTTTGACCGGGTTCGGCGCAGGGCTAAGTGCAGTGTTGATCAGGAGCGGCTGGGCTACAACACACTCATGGACTTCGGAAGTGCCAGCAAAATACAGGTTCGATGACAAAACAAATCTGAGAGCGGTAGGCCTTGCCACAGTGCGCATTGCGGACATGTGTCTTGCTGCATGAGCCATCAAGCGGCCAGGTGTTTAAGCTTGCCGGGTGCGATCATGATCCGATTGAAATGACGAACCTGGGGAATTGTGGTCCTCCTCGTCGCGGCTTGGCAGTTGATCAGGGGCAACGCTGGAACTACAGAACCGCCCGGAAACTTGTGTGTTCATGCTGCGTGGGCCACCGTGCTCAAAACTACTCCCTCCTGTAACCTTAGTGGAACAGCCCATGTCCATGTGGGCCGTCCTGGCTCTCTCTGAGGTTACCACATCTCCCTGGAGTTCTGGTACGCGAGCTCGCCCAGCGCTTGGAGATCGGATGTCGGAGCTTCGATGCGCCACCCAAAACCCTGTGTTTGCGTTGCCTAGGCTCCTAGGTCCTTCCCCTCCAGCGCCCCCCGTCCTGCGCCCAGGCCTTGGTGGAGTTCTTGGGCAGCGGAGATGGGGGACTACACGCCGGTGAACCTCGGGAGCCGCTCCGCTCCGATGGGTCAAACAGAGCTGAGAGCTCTGTTAGGTTTGAAGCGAAGTCTAGAGAAGCAACGAAGACGGCCGACCGAGGCATCGGCTACCCTGGCAAGGAAGGGATGTTCATCTTGGACCAGGCTGTGCAGAAAGCCTTGACAGAACGAGGTCTCGCGCACCTCGGCATGGAACATAGACTGAAGTCCGTCGCCACGGTGTTCATAAGGCAGCCACAGAGCACTCGAAGCATGTGTCTGTCCGGAAAGGCTGGAGTACTACCGCTCCTACAATGCCACATGGTACAATCCCGCTCTGTATGCAGCAGTGGTTGCAGACGTGAGCCTGAACCAGCTGCAGACTTGCGGTGACAGCGTGGAGGCCAGGCTGTTTGGCTTTTGGGCTCTTCCCGTTGCTGTCTCAGCATGATTCACCCGAACCTCGTGTAGCCTGAGCAAAGCAAACATCAAGTGCGATAGATCGACATTTGCTCCCCTAGCAGGGGGTGGCATCAGGTAGGTAGCCCGCCCTGTCATCAGGGCTACTTTCCGGACATTGCTACGGTGTACCTCGATGCCACTGGCGACGTGAATGCCCTAGACGGCTAGTCTGCGTTTACGGACTGCAAGACATCTCTTTTCTTTCAGCTTCACTTGTGACCATCTCTGTTAGGTCGATGGCGTGGAGGAGGTAAACGGCAAGACCGTGCTCAAGTGCTGGCAGGATAAGTGGTGGCCAGCACCTGCTTGCCGGCACAACATCTCTGGTTGCGTCACAGTGATCTCCGGTGGCCCGGGATGGGGATGGCCTGCTCCTTGACAATGTTGCTTCGCTTGTGGTTTCATCCATCCGATGCTCAGGCGGTCTCGCTCAGTGTGTGCCCGTCTGAGGAGATGATCCAACAAGCATTCTTCCACAACATGCCTTTGGCTTTTGCCACGGCGCAGGAAGTGCCAGTCAACTATTATATCCCACTGAATCGTCAATTGCAAAGCTTGCTCTACTGGTGGACGCCCGATACCAAGTTCACCCTGGACAATCCTTCGCAGGTCATTTTTCCACCCAACAGCCCCTCGGAGTACGCGAACCAGATCTTCAAGACCCAGCGGGAGAATGTTGACTTGACGAATTGGGCAGCTGCTGGGCCGCAAGCCCCCTGCTCTTGTCCCTGCTCTTGCGTCAAGAGTTCAACTCTTGCCAGGCGGTTGGTGTGGAAGCCATTGCAGATCGGGCGGTGGCGGTTGCAAGGAACCTCTTTATCGCCGACGACGAGCTTTCTTCGATTCTGGTGCAGCACCTCTCCGCCACGCCTCCTGATCCCTGGCAGACGGCTTGCAACTGGCTGAAAGCAAATTCAGCCGTGTGGATGGCTTGGCTGCCGAATGAGACAGCATGCACTGCTGGAAAGGGGCTAGTGAACTCCCTGGGTGAGCTTGCCACATCCTCAGCCCAAAGCTAGGTTTTTCAGGCCTCAGCGATCTTCCAAGCACTCTCAGACTCTCAGGTGGTGGACCGATCGCTGGCCGTCAGCTGCCAGGCCCGCAGCTTCATGGAAAAGACCCTTGTTGACGCGGCCTTGCTTCGTCAAAGTAGGCTCCATCCGTCGGCATCCTAGTAGCAGGGAGCACTCCAGCATGTCGACATGTCGGAGGTCTGCCCAGTGGGAACCAGCTCAATGGAGCAGGGCTCCACACGGGTGTGCCTGCCGTGTGCAGAAGGCCACAGTTCGTTAGAGCAAGGGGTCTGTTCATGGGAATTGTGCACTGAACTGGATTAGAAGGCATGCGCCACCATGAGTCTGAGGTCTTTCGCGAACACACGTAGATTTGCTCTATCAGGCACCTTCCAGAATTTGCCTGGCGAGTCCACCTGCATTCCCTGCGAGCTCGGGAGATTTGCCGACGGGACTGGTGCCGGAGAGTGTAGCGTATGTGACCTGGGTGGATATGCCAACGACACAGGTATGACTGCCTGTTTCAAGTGTGGCGCAAACACCACCCAGATGGATCAATGGACGACTAGCAAAGCGGTGATGAATCAGGGAGAGATAGCATGGATTCCAGTGCAGGGGGCAGTCTCAGAGTCTTACTGTGGATGCGTGGAGGGGACATACTACCACGATGGGCTTTGCCGGCCCTGCGACGAGGGATCCATCTGCAGTGGATCGAGCCGAATCGAGCTGCTTCCAGGACTGGCAGTCGCGTAGGAGTGCGGCACGACGACTCAACCACACTAGCTGGACCGTGACAGTTGGGTGAGTGGCGTCGGATATTCGTGGGAGTTAGACAGTTGCAGTTGGTGGAATGAGTATCACGGGCAGTGGTTTGGCCAGGTGGAGGTTGATCTTGATCGTGTCTGCTCTCTCCCGCACCAAGTCAGATGGTGGTGAGTCCTGTAGCCTCCGCAGCTGTGCTTCAGGGCCGCCTCTGCTCGCAGATCAGCCTAAATCACATGCAGTCAGAAGCAACACAGCAATCAGCGCAGAACATGGGAGCAGGCAGAACAATATCCTGCAGTTACCGTACTGGTGGTCGCCATACTAGCAGAAGAAGTACGTGCTGTGCCGAGCATGAGCTTTCCATCAAGCGGCAGCACAAGCTGAGCCTGTGCATCGGCATGAGCATGAGCAAGCATGTACATCTTCGATCAACATTCTGATGATGCTAACGTCGACCATGCTCATATCGTCACCAGCATCATCGTCGTCCTCCTCGTTCTGGTCCTGTTCCTCGCCTCCTCTTCATCCAAGCCCTGGTCCTCCCCATCATCTCCATGATTATCGTCACCTCCCATCACCGCCGTCACTTCCCTGATGAGCATCAGCGGCGGTACCATCGCTGGCGGTGTCGTCTTCATTTGCCGTCCTCGTGATGATGATGATGATGATCTTCTTCTTCCCTCGCCGTAGAGTAATCCACGATGCGCTGGAGCGACGGATTGACGTCCGCCGGCGCCCTTGGGGCACGCCTTTTGGCCTCCTGAACTCTCCTATGGCGATGCCATTTGCAAGTAGGAAATGGTATAATGGAGTAAATAAATGCTCTCAAATTTCCTATGGCCTTGAACATTTAGTCCTGTCTTGATCCCCACTCCCGGCTGTCCGGTTTACCCCCGGAACCCAAAGGAGGGCAGCAGCTACAGGAATGGGGATCAAGATTGGCTATCAAGTGATCGCTCTGCCTAATTTACTGCATATAAAGCTGGAATGAGCATGGCATCCGAAAGTATTCAAAGTTAAAAGACGTCCTCGACTGATGGGCAACAATTCAGCCAGCCCGGAAGCCTCGCCCCGAAGGGCCCATAAGCAGGCTTATCCGTGCTGTTCCGAGAAGCAAGTATAAAACCGATGTGACAAAAGGGTAGCTGAAGAATAATGCACAACAAGTTACAGATCGAAGTTGCCACAAACTGTGCTGAGTCAAGGACGAAGACAAGGGCTACTGCAGAAAATGTCAGTCAGGCAGTCTTGGTCAGGCAGAAAATGTATGAATTCGAGTACACTATATTGAGGTACTGCACTGGCACTGGTTGAGCAGTCTTTCCATCATCGGTGATAAACAAGACTTTGCCTCGCTTGAGGAGGGCCGCACGATAATGCCCAGAGGTAGTCGATCGTCCCAGGTGGAATATGATGCTTTGGACGGTATACTGGGCCCTTAGGGTGGAGTTGCCAGGTCCTACGAAGTAGGGGAAGTCAACCGTGAAAGGGGGCATTATGGGACCGTCTAGCTTATCACCCCTATCTGTGAATCGCGCTACCTGGAGCAAAAGACACTGTGGCGGCCCATCAGTGGCAGCAAAAGTCAATGCCTGCCCGTCATGAAACTGATGGGTCCATTGCTCAACAAGGTCTTGCAACCGGTTTGATCTCGCACCTGTGCCTGTGCAAAGCCGTGCTGACAGCGGCAGTGGCCAAAAGGAGCCAGCATCTGTGACCTCAGAGGGTAGCTCGGGGGTTGGAGGTGCACTGCGGGCCTCCCATTCAACACGCAAGGCTTGTTGGATGAGGTGGGGACTGATGCTTTGCAAAAACTCAGCCGCGTCTTGCTGTCCTATTGCACGCCAGGGTTGCACGGCTTGCTTCCAGGATGAAAGATGCCACAAATGACACATCCTGCCTCTGCAGCCTAACACCTGTTGCAGTGATTGCCGAAAGGATGCTCGAGGCGGATCGATGGCTGTGTCAGCCTGCACAAACAACCAAAGGACGGCAGTGAGAGTGGAGTTGGCATAGCAGTACTGCTGCTGGTTACCTAATTTCAGGGTTTTGATGGCCTCCTCAATTACAAGCGGCGAACCGCCTCCTCGATGGCCTTCTCCAGTGGCCCGCGACCCAGCTTGCATGGGCGAAGGCTGCCGCCCACGAGGTGCATCACCGAATTGAAGGCGAGGCGCTCGAAAGCCGAATATGTGTGCTGCGACTCCAAACATCGATTGTGTATTTCGAGACAAAAGGGGACCACCTCCGAGGTCATCTCCTTTGTTAGCTTGCGCAGCGCATGGAAGCGCAGCACAACTCGCGGATACACCAGGTGCTTGATTATCATAGCCACATGTGCTTTCGCCTGCTCCAGCGTCAAATGCTCCTGTTGTGTCTTCTCGTGACACTTTTTCTCCTGATTCCAGCGCATGTAGAGGAAGCAACCGTTTTCCATGATCCCCAGGCTTTCCAAGCGACGAATATCCTCGGGCTGGCCTTCCAGGGCCGAAATGCGCTCGTAGAGTGCATTCATCATGCAATGCACCAGGGTGGTCCTCAGGGTGTTGGTGAGGCTGTCCGGGTCGTTGGCCTTCTTCTCGTGCCAGGCCTGAGCTGCCTGGTAGAGGCTGCTGACGATGGCCCATTGCTTGGTGGCCTCCTCCTCTCCCTGGAGCTTGGGCTTCATGGAGGTCTTGAGGAACAGCATAAAGCCCAGGTCCATCTGCAGATACGCAATCGTATCTGCCTGCCGCAGGACTAGTCGGCACAGCTCCTTGAGGAGGTCCCGAACCTCCCTGTCCTCCATGCGACCCTGGCCTTGGCCCTGACGTCCCCAGTTGCTCCATCTTTGATCGTCGTTGCGCCTGGAAAAAGTAGACCAGTCCCGGTCCGGCCGTTGGCTGGGGAACCGAACTCGAGCGGGGCGAGGGTTGTCCTGGTTCTCCTCCTGGATCACCGACTTGTCGAGCTCCTTGGGCTTGTCCTTGTCCTTGTCGGCATGCCCTTCTCCCTTCCCCGTGGGCTTGGACCACTTCGCCGGAGGCTCCGTGGTTTGATCCTGGCCGCTCCTCTTCGGTTGGTTGCTCTCGTCCATCGCTTCCGGCTCCTGGAGGGCCTTCTCCTGTCGCTGAAGGTCCTTTTCCTCCCGCTCCATGGCCTCCCGCTCTGCTGTCGGAGTTGAGGCCCTGGTGGTGGCCACTGACGGGGCTTCGAAATGCCCCTCGAACTGAGCAAGCTCCAGTCGTGCTCGTGCCAGCTCTGGGTCCTCGGCCATGCTGCTGAAGGGAGGTTTGACCTGAGTCAAGACTTGAAAAATGGTTGATTATGTGTCCACAGGCCCAGAGTACTGGGCATGCTTTCTGATGAGCCTGAGAGCTTTGCGTGTACTGCTCCAGGCACCAGCGGCAAGGCTGGCCAACTCCACCGCGACTTTGAGCCCACTTGCGCACTACTGCTTCTGATTGGCGAAAATGGGAGTGCTGCTGCTGAGCATGTCTTGCAATATAGCGGTTAGTAGCACATTTGTACCTACATTCCGGACAGTGTCCGGCAAGGATCTCTTTTCGGATGAGGCTTGATAAGGTGGAATGTGAGTGCTCGCAGGCAGCAGTCCGCACTTCCGGATTTTGCATCAAAGGCACTGGGGAAGTTGGCAGATTAGACGGGTCAGGCTGCGGCAAGGAAGCACTCCCCGGTGCGGACACCCCATGAGCAGGAGGTTCCGATGTCGCAGGCTCTGACAAAGCTTTTGTTGCTTGTCCATGCAGCACAGGACAAGCCTTCTGATGAAAATGTCCCATGAAGGAACGCCAACTGGCAAAGCGCTTGCCACAAGAATTGCATTCAGGCTGTCCATCCTTAGCATATTGCATGAAGACGACAGTACGATGCGAGCGCTCGGCATAGGTGGTCTTGGTTTTGGCCTGACTCTCCTCAGGATGCGACTTACCGATATGCGTGCGCACTGCATGCAGGCTGGAAAACGTGATGCCGCAGTGTGGGCAGGTTGTAGGGAACCGGGGGACTTGAGTAAGTTCTGTGAGCTGTGAAGATTGGGAGGGTCCGGGTTGACTGTAGGTTTTTTGGCTAATGACAACTTGTTGCAGATATTGTTTGACTGCTGGGGGTTGCAAATGATGTAGGGTGCGTAGGGCTAGGTCAACTCGTTTGGCGGTAATGCTGAAAAGATAGTTGGGGAAGTCCTGAACTTGTAATCTGTGCTGCAGCTGCTGGTTTGACTCATGCGTAACATGGGCTGGGCTCCTAGCAACTCGTCGGAGCTGCTTGATGACCTGTGTTCGGAGCTTATGTGCCGACTGCGCATCGAGCCCAACGGAGGGCAGGCTGTACAGGAGCACAGAACCAACGCAGGCTCTCCAGAGCCTAACTCGTGTGGAGGTGGGTAGGGCTTTGGAAGTAAGGAGTCTGTGAAGACGGTGAAACGTCTGCCAGGCCTGTTGGAGTCTGTAGGTTACTGTGGACCGCTCAAAACGACCATAGGTTATGATGGCCCCAAGATACTTGTGCTCTTTGCGAACAGGGATGCGAACTGGGCCTGCCTTGGTTTTGACCTCTAAGAAAGTCTCTGCTTTATTTCGATTGATCCTGCTATGCATGGCCTTTTTGGCAGCACTGCCTCCTAGGTGAATGAGGACAACCGTTTTGTCCACAGAAATCTGCATCCCCAACTCCGTGAGATCATCAAGAATCCTTCCTATCTGAACACAACAGTTATGAAAATGCAGTTCCGAATCTATATCCCAAGAGACATGATAGTCATCTGCAAAAACTGTGGGTTGATCAGGAGTGAGGAAGGTCTCCAGGCGCTCCATGGCAAGAAGTGTAAATGCAGTCCATAGCAGAGGAGCCAAGCCGCATCCCTGCCTGATGCCTGAATTAGTGTGTAATTCTGCTTCGTATTCTTCTTTATGAAAGACCAGCAACATTTCATAATGTATGTAGAGAATGAGTTGCGTCAAGTTGTCTGGCACCTGAAGTCTACGCAACGCCTCTGCCAGTCGGGATCTGGGGAGCCTGTCGAAGGCTTTGCTGAGGTCTAAGGAAAGCTGAACTCCCCCTTTCAGGGGGGGACGGCGACATGCAGAGGCTGCAAACGGCGCAGGCCGGGTATTGGAAACGGCTTGGCGCACTCTGTAGCAGTGGCTGAAGACCTTGTCCAGAGCATCCAGTGATTGACGCCCTTCCAAGTATGCGTACTGAGGCTGTTGCCTCATTGCTGTCTCCAGGAGGGGTCGTATGCGTTGGGCACATGTCCTAGCCAGGAGTTTAGATACTGCCGGTAGGAGGCAAATTGGCCTGAGGTTGGCAGGGCAATTCGGGGGCTTTTGGGGCTTTGGGAGAAGGGTTACAAAAGCTCGGTTCCAGTTGATAGCCAGTTCTATAACCCCCGGCTGAAAACGTTGCCGAAAGTCTCGGGATAGCACTGGAATGATGTCTGTACTACAGGTCTTCCACAGCACCGCAGGGGCATGGCCTTGAGGCAGGGCCTTGCGCTGTGACAGCGAGGCGATGGCTTCTTCTATCTCAGCATTCTCAATGTTCAGAGGCTCAGTGATAATGAAGGTTCGATTGGGCTGTCGCTGCGGGGTTTGATAGAGTTGGCTGAAATAATCCTTGATGACTTGAAGGGATTGTTGTGGACCCAGGAGGCCTTGATGTATTGTTTTGAGGTGTATGGATCTGCGCGGGTCTTTGGGCGCTGTGCGATGCATGACTTTATAAACGTGAGTAAGGCCTTTGCGGTCAGCAGCGTGGGCCTGTGCAATGATGTCTTCTGCTTGCTGCCTTTTGGCATGGCGGAGCTGCTTGTTCAAGTCTCGGGCAACTCGGAGGTATTTCACAGCTGCTTGCCATGCGATCAGGAGCTGTGATATATTTCTGCGTGCAGAAGGCAATGCTTGCACCGCCCCTAAGTTCGATGTCCAGCTGACATTGAACATTCTTGCCTGCAGACCCTGGCTGGAGCAGCGCAACGCATGCTTGTGCTGCCAATACTGTTCTAGATTGGTAGCGGAGCGGGTGGTTCGGGCACCTTTGTGATTGTGTTGGAACGGCTGAAAGGACTGTATCAGAATCGTATTGACATCATCCGCTTTGACCTCTGGATCTGCAAGCTTGCGCGCTACTGCTGTGCGGAAAGACTGACATGCTTGCGGATCCCGGAGGGCACACATGGCTTTCTCTGCGGTGAGGTTGGAATTAGGAGATGGTTTGCGGGGTATTCGGGGCATAGGAATTTGCAGCGTGATCGGAAAGTGACGCATGCCTGCGTCTGCAACTATGGGTGCATTTCTGAGGACTTGGGTGTGCATTTCCGGGATGCAGCAGGGCTGCCTGAGCAGCACAAAATCAATCTGCACCGACTGGTTGCGGTGATTGACAAACGTGGCTGATCCATCTCCCGGACGACGCCAGGTGTTGGCCGCAACTAATCCTAGGCTTTGAAGAATACCCTGAAATACCCTTGAATCTCTATGCTGGGAGGACTTATGGGTAGTGATGCCAGGTCCTACATGGGGATGCAAGGATTTAAGGGGGGTGTTAAAGTCTCCCGCTAGTACTAGCTGGCTGCGTCGGGGGATGGATGCACCCCAAGCCTGGAGCTGCTGCCAGATGACTGCACGGTCCTGAAGCAACAATTCAACCGGCTCTCGATCTTGGTTTTGATAGACTTGCTTGTTGACGTTCCAAGCATGCTGGTAGCAGTTGAGGACATCAATGGGTGGTTCTGTGCCTAATCTGGTGTGGAGCAGCCTACCCGGTTGTACTTCTGCATATTGTACAGACTTTACGGTGAGGCCGGGCATGCGGACCATGGTCAAAACCCCAGCCTGACTGGTGCCGTTGCTACTGGATATGCAGGACCAGGGTCCTCTCTGAAATTCCGAGGTTATGCTCCAGTGCGTTTCTTGCAAACAGACTACGCATGGGCCCGTGGTTTGCTGATCTATCCATTGTAGCAGTGCTTCAAAGCGAAGTTCGGACAGGCCACCGCAGTTCCAGCTGAACAACTGAAAAGCGGGTGAGGCGGGCTGTGTAAAGGCTGAAGGCCTAGCAGAAGGTTTGGGTCTATGGGTCCTAGGTTGGGGTGGTAGGGAGTTCTGCGGGGCTGCCGGGAGAAGTCTGCCTCTGTACCAGGCACGGCCTTCACGCTGTTGTCTGGCCAGGGCTCGCCTGTATGAGCGCTTAGCTATGCGGGATACTTGCACATAAGGAGGGCCTGTGGCTCTAGGGTGCGAAGGTTGGGAGGCTGAGGCCGTCGCAGTCATGCAGTGAACCTGAAGCATAAGCAATGCGCACTGAAAAGTTCGATGTGCTGGAGCTCCGACACCGAAAAGTCGCTGAGGTGCTTTCAGGTGGTGCCTAAGGGTGCTGACTGACTGAACAGGTTCATTAGCTATGGAGAGAACAGGGGCCGTTCCTTGAGAAGCGGCCACGGTGTGGTTATGGTCGTAGTGGTTTGCTATTGCAACGATTAGAGGTGAGCTACATACAGCTTCAGGGGGAAGACGACCTGCAATACCCCCAACCCTCACATCTTCGGTGACTCCCTTGATGTTAATTTGAGTGGGTGCTGGATCACCGACCCCGGAATTGGGACCGGGGCAGCCCGAGGCTTGATTCAGTTCTGAAGCTCCGAAATCAGCAAAAAAGCCACTCATCACTCTATATACAGCCGGAATCAGAAGAGCTTGCCATGCTCTAAGAAAGCCACGCTTCCTGTAGCGCGAAGCATCAGGGTGCAGCCCCCGCGTTGTTCCGGCTCGAAGACGATGGCGCCGAGGACGGGCGTGTCGCCTCCTCGATGGCGGGAAACGGAATCTCCACCATCGCTTGGTCCTGCCGAGGTCCATCAGTGGAGGAGCCTGCCCCAGTATCCGATGGTGGTGGCACATCCTGGTTAGGCTCCGCATCTGCTGGTTGCTGATCATACAGGAGGGCGTGGTGCGAGCGGGACTGGAAGACATAGTTGGCATACCAATCCTGAAGGCGGCCCACGTCATTCTTTGGAACCAGTGGAAGCAGGGCCACAAACGTGGGATGGAACCACAGCGGTAGGGCTCTATCGTGGACAATGCGGGCCAGAGTGTGCGCCATGTGAAGACTGGCCATGTGCGCGCTGAGAGTTCGGAAAACCAGTCGACACAAGCACTGCAGAGTGAGCTGTTTGGAGGGCCCCCATTGGCTTCCAGTGGACAAGATCCAGGCAATGTCATTTCTGCGCAATGGCTTTTCCAGAGTGTTCTGAAGAAATCTGAACTCCATCTGCAAACAGTCAGCACTGGCCTCGTCCAGCTGGTCGATGAGGGCCTCCAATGAGCTGACTGCAGCTTGATTGTGGAAGGCCTTCTTGTGCGCAGATAGTTTGGCAGAGGCCTGTCGTCTGTCCGGCCCAAGCGTTGTAACCAGATGCTTTTCGAAATGCAGCCAGCAAAGCTCGAGGAGAACGTAGTTGCGAAACTCCAGGAGCTCCGTTGTATGTGTCGGCAGCTTTCGGCGCTTTGCAGGAGTGATCGACTCGGAGCGGCTGGAGCTCGAATCCATACATTCATCAGAAGTATGATAAGGGCTCTCACTAGCAGCGGCATTCGAGCGTGGCATAATACGGAAAACCGGAGACTCAAAAAAGGGCTCGGGCCGAGATGCTTGATGATGATGATGATGATGATCGTCAGCATCACCATCAGCAGCTGCATCATTGCCAGCAAGCTCAAAGTCATCACGTCTGGTTTTTCTAGGACACCGAACAACTGAAGGTGGGCAGCAGTGAAGATCCCTCAACACAACGCCCCCGAAGGATATTTTTCGCCAGTGGAAGAGCCTGGATCGATCTATCGGTGCTTCGGGCAACCGGAGCGCTGTCCGGGCGGACCTCCCGGCACGTGTGCTTCAGGCCGTGATACCAGCAGCATCGCCTGTAGCAGCTGTTTGCCTGGACTACATGCCAAGGCGCCCGAAAGTTACTTAGTGCGGTGGTTGGGCGTGGTGCTATATTTGTTGAGGATGTCCTGCTAGATGCATGCATCGTCTAAGTCATGGCTAGCATTGTCCAAGCTGGTGTCGCGGCTGTCTTTTCAGGCATCATCATCATCATCATCATGATTATCATCATCACCACCATCATCATCGTCATCATCACCGTTATCATCATCATCGTCTTCTTCTTCCTCTTCATCATCGTCATCTTCTTCATCATCATGGTGGCCATCATCATCATCATCATCATCGTTGTGATCATCATCATCACAGGACCATGGTCAGCACTGCCAAAACGATTATCAACTGTTGTTCCTCTGATTCCGACGAGTTCTATGCAGCAGACACCGCTTTGAGTCGAGTGTGCTAGTTCCCACAGGACGGCGTGTGCGTGGAGTGCGTTGGAGGCGATTATGCCTTAATCGTGAGTGTTCTCTAGCTGCAGCTTGGGGATGAGCAGCTTCCAGCATGACAGGGGGATGGGTTCAAACAAGGTTGCGATTCTTGTAATTGGCGCCATCGCTGTGCTCTACATCGTGCCTTGAGCTGATACATAATGTTAAGCGACGGCGTGATCAAGAGCCTCTTGTCCTTGCTCTAAGCCCAGGTGCTCATGAACGAAGGTCAGAAGAGCAGACAGCCTGGAAGTCTCTTGATTGCTGCCTTGGGTATGGGCCAGATGGTAACCGTGGTGCAGCAGCTTGTCTCGCGTGCTTCAATTGTGGAGCTAATGTCGGAGGGTTAAGGGACTTTCCAGCACTTCTTGACACTCTTTCAGTGCTATGCCCCTCGATCAAATACTCGAAGAGACTAGCCTCCCAGTCCACTACCAAAAAAGCTGAAAAAACGCGAGGCAGCTCACGGTGATCCAGCAATTCAAGATCGAATGGGGTGAGCCTTTCTCGAGCGTTCTGGTGGCCTTGGAGGTCATGGCCTTCGACATGGCCCCCTGCCTCTGGTAGTCCTAGAACGACAACTAAGAGTTTAGGGTTTAGGGTTTAATGAGGGTTAAGGGTCACCTGCTTCTGGTAGTCCTAGAAGTGTTTAACTGTTTAGTAGTGTCAGTCTTCTTGAGAGGGAGATGAAACGGAGAAGCCGAGGACATGATATCGATCAGCTGCGTTGCTCCCATGAGCCCCGTGGTGAAGTTTGCCACAAGGACCAAGAGTGTGGCTACGGGAGTAAGATTCGAATTGGGGTCGCTCAGTCGCTCAGTCTTGATGAGCAGGACACTACTGGTTCTGGTCTTCTTTTTTGTCGCCGCGGTGGTCCATGCAGCGTTCCTAACGGTGCGTAAGGCGAAGGGCCTGCAGCTGAGTCTTCTGGCGCGGACAGTGGGTACTCTATTCATGGTCTTCTTCATCTCGCTCTGCTCCTCCCTTCTGGCGCCCTTCCGATGCGACAGCCATCCCAATGGACTCTCCACGGTCCAGGCATACCACGGCGTCTTCTGCAATGGCAGGGACGAACACCTGCAGATGGCACTGATTGGGGGCTTCGCTTGCCTTTTACCCATCGCATTCCTTGTCCTCTGCAGTTGGATCATCTTGCGCGAGCTTCCGAAGCGCCTGGAGAGTGCGGACGTACAGTTCGTGAGGGCGTGCTCCTTTCTTTTCGTCCGATTTAGGCCCGGAGCAGAGGTCTTCTCTGTGATCTTCCTGGTGCGCAACAGCCTTGTGGTGCTGTGCCCCTTGCTCCCTTCGACCTCCGGCAAGGTGCTGTGCTTGAATCTGCTCTTATACGTCAGTCTGGTTGTGACGGCCTTCAGCAAGCCCTGGAGAGCTATGGCGTGTAACTACTTAGATGTCGTCCTGGTGACCGGCATGCTGGTGATCCTGGACATGGGCTCGCTCTTTGTCGGAGAGGTCGATGCCGAAATCACAGTGGTGATTTGCATGCTCTTCTCATCTTTAATGGTGGCCGCCATTCTGGGTGCTATCCTCTACGGCATCGTCAAGCATTTCATGCAGAAGTACCGGAAGCCGTTCCGGTTCTTCCTCTGTCACCAGAAGGTGGCGGCTGGGAGCTATGCACGTCTGCTCAAGATGGAGTTGCAGAAGCGAGGGTCTCGCTTCACAACCTTCGTTGATTGCGATGATCTGAACGATCTCACACGGCTCTTCAGCTACGTTGGCCAGGACACGGAGACCTTCGTCATCCTTGGCAGCCAGGACACGCGCGGTAGCGCGCACGTAACCCGTGCACATGTCGCCAGCAAGCCGCAACTTCCTTGGCAAGCCTTCCTGATGTTTAAACCTGTACGTACAGGGCTTGAAGGGCATGGCTTGGCTTGGCCCTTTTTGGGGCGTTTGGCGCGTCAGAGGGTGCTCGAGGGGGCTCGGTTTGGGAGCCCCATACTGCCCTGGTTTTCCATCTCTTCTTGAGGACATCTTGACGAGGAAGTGGTGTGACTTGGAGAAAGTGTATGTGGGGGGAGCCTTCTTGTGGTTCTTGCTGACAGGTTGGGGATCCTACTAGGTTTCTCTGCCGAAGTTGCGAAAAGGATCCGGAGAGACCGAGGTGTGGGAGAGATGGTAACTGCCAGGATTCAGAAGGTGAACACCGTGCTGCTCATGTGGCCTTCTTTCCTGAAGCCCGACAAAATCTTCATTGAGAATTACACCAGCATTGTCCCTGACATTACCGAGTTAGCCAACTACAACATCGGCATTGCCGAGGCTGGGCACTCCAGGGCCGCCTCTTCTTGCGTTTTGGAATAGGCCCAGAAGACCCGGACTGAGCCCGAGCCGCCCAGAAGACCCCGAGGTGGAAGAAACGCTGCGTTGGATAAACACCGTCGAAGCCCTGGAAGTGCCGGCTTTGCTCAGCACGGACACCATCGATCAGATTGTCAGCGGCCTGACGCAGACCAGCCGCACTCGATCCATCAGTGACCAGAAAGATCATCCGGACTGTCTCATCCTGGCGGACCTGGAGAACATAGAGGCGGGACCATGGCTGTTCGCTGCAGTTGCCTCTACAACAGCTAGTCTTGCTGGCAGCAGTCCTCGGATCAGACATGGAAACTGCACTGACAGGTGAGCGGCAGGGAAGCGTCGCGAGCCGCAACATTGGGGGGGACTCCGAATCGAGATACTGCTTAGCAGCCCCCGACTTGTAAACAAAGAAGCAAACAGCTGCATATGCGCTGCATCCAAGATCGCCCAAGTTCCCCAAAACAACCTGCCACCAACAAGCTCGAGCTGCATCAAATCGCTGAGTGCATTTTCTGAGAAGTTCGGGACGCGACAGAAGCCTCGATTCTTTTCGAGATTCGGCTTGGGAATCTGGTTACCTGCTGCTGTTTAACACCGAAGTCTGCAAAAGCGGGACTACCAAGCTCCCACTCCGGAGGGAAAGTCATCACTTTTTTGTTTTGTTCTTCAACATCCGGCTTTTGGCAGTCCATGTCTTCGCGAGCTGTCGAACCGGTGACAGAAACTCGAGGGATGCTCTCCCGAAAGTGTCGAGGCCCGGAGCCGCCCCTGGCTCCTTGAGCAACCAGTTTTGAAAGTGTAATCAAGGTCTTCGCGAACGCTTCTTCGCGCCAGCTACCGTCATGTCTGCACACGTGCATTGAATGAGCAGGATACATCCGCATGAGTTCTGATGTGATGCATCCTGTTACGATCATGTGCCGCATGATGTTGAAGGGGTCCAGAAGGACAAATCCTTTGTTCAACGATGCTCTTGTGTATGTGTGTGCTCTTGCAGACACAAGCTTTAGACCGGGAGGCAGCTGCGACTGCGTACATCCTCCTGGCCTTAATCGTGCCCAAGCTCATGGGGGCTTCCAGCAATTCGATGCCGCAAGTGCTTCAGCAAAGCCGTGATCTCCCACCTACAGCCAAATCTGCACTCGTGATCTGCTCGGAGGGATGCTTTAGGTCATGTGAGATGGCGCAGTGGCTCTTGCAGGTGAGCCAGATAGACTCCTGCGCCATACTACCGATCATTGCGGAAGATGGGTTCCGCTTTCCAACGCAATCCTTCTATGACGACCTCTCAACATACTCTCAGCTCGAGAAGGTGGACCTCCGCACTTACGTCCGGGTGATTAAGACAGTCTTCCAAGAAATCGCAGTCGTCTTCTCACCCCAGAAGCCCGACTGCACGGGAGTGAAGGGCCTGCTAAACAAAACGAGGCGTCACCTCCCCTAAACCCTAAACCCCTAAATCCTGCTCTGAGGAATTATTCTTCGACGCAGGAGGACTTGGAGCTCCGGGCCAAGCAGGCAGAGTTGCGAACCAAGTCGAAGCTTTTGCAACATGTCCTGTGACTATGGTCTCTGTGACATCTGCTGCACTAGCGTGTCTCCACACCCGAACATGCATTCATGCAAGCATGGCTGCATGTATCCTCCTGAGTCTCTCTGTAGAATGCATGTATGTGTTGCTGGTACGTACATCTACTTGGTCATGCATGTGCTGTTGTGTGGAACTGTCGTTGGCTGTTCAAGCAGCACGGTCTCGTACAGAGCAACGCATTGTTGTAGAGTCGAGGCAACTCGGTATGCCCGATGTCGGTATGTAATTCTCCTTAGGTTACTTGTGATGTATCTGGGCATGTTTGGAGCGCCTTGAAATCCTGAAAGCTTGCACTTCCGAAACATCCCGGCCCTTCGACACTGGAGGTGGCCTGGCGGCTGCAGAGTGGAGCGTTGAAGTCTGTGTCCTCCAAGCTGGCGGGCAAAGAAGGCACCCTTGTTTAGCAGTTCGATGACAGACACATGCCAGACCCTGAATCCTGAGATCCAAACATGTGGACAACAAGTCGCAGCAAAAAGCTCCGCGGTCGTTGAACCCTTACTTTTGCCAACGATGCCCAAGATACCCAAGAGTCGTTTTGTTAGGAGGCGACGACGAGGAGCTGACGGCCTCGGATGGGCTGAAAGAGTCTGCAAACGACAGCTCCAGTACGACGCTGGATGCGGGCGATGATGCCCTGAAAGTACATGAAGAGGCGTTCTAAGTGCGCCTTGGCGGACAATCGAGTCTTTGTCCCAGGGAGGGTGGAGTCTGCATTCAGCGTTTCTGTCCATGGAACATGCTTCTCTCAGGCAGAGCCTCTGTGGCCACTTCGAGGGCCCAATTGCAACTTCCGAAGTCCCCTGCAAAGTTGCTATGCGCTGGCATTCTCCACGCGAAGCGTGAAGATCTGGCAGCTGGAGTCTTGGACCTTGACGAAAGTCTTCACAGTACTCCATCGCCATTGCTTGTGCAAGTTTGCGGGATCCAGCCAAGGCCCCCTGCGAAGCAGGGTCCCCTTTTGCCACGGTGTCGGGACTACCTGACTATCGTCTTGTTGATGTCCCCGGTTGTGACGGAGCCCACAACCCTAAACCCTAAACCCCAACCCCTGCACCCTAATTCATAGGGCAGCAGACTTTGGAACTCCCTCGACCTGCTCGGGCAGCCTGCTAAGCAGAAGGGAACTTCTTTTTTCCAGTCTTTTCAGGCTTTTTCACATAGGATAAGTGAACGATGCAAAACAAGAACGCGAGCTCTTGAGTACTGCTTCCTTTATTATGTAAAATGCTGCGTGCTTCATCTGATTTCGGTTTTGCGCAAGACGGCTGCTGGATTGACACTACGAGAATTCGGATTTGGGGATCGCTGGCAAATGTAAGAATTTGACTCTGGGCATGTTTTGTTTTTTCCCCCCCCCCCCCCCCCCCGGATGCCTGTCCCGTAATCTGTAACATGCCCCCTCCAAGCCTTCCTACGAGCCTCCAGGCCTCCCTACAGCCCCTGGCCGTAAGCACCTGATTTGAAAGATTATCATAGATTGAAGGTTGCTCGATATATCAAAATGAAATACGGCTGGGCAAATATATTATGAAGCCATTCTCGTATAGAACAAATCCGGAGTCGGAATAATAAAATGGAACTTTAAACGACTATAAATAACGATATATACTTTTTTGTGTTAAAAAATAAAAATATATATGATATAATTCGTTTTTTTCAACGAATATATTTATTTTCCTATTATTTCAAAGAATATCCGGTATTTGTGACTTTCGGAAAGAAAAATATGAAAAAATCGAAATTTCATATATAATGAAATTGAATAAATTATTTAGGAATTATGATTTGAAATATGATGGGAGTTATGGAGAGGTTTCTCTTTTTTTTGATATTGTAATTATTTTTTATTTAAATACTTAATAATGATTAATTTAATTATATATAGAGTATATATATTAATAAAAAAAAATAAAGATAAATTAGATGATTCGGAAAATTATTTCTTGGCTTTAATTATTATATATAATTTATATGAAGTTCTTAATTTAAAGATATTGGATTTTTATTTTGAAATATTTGATAGAAATGATAAACCTCTTAATTATTGAGCCCTCAAAGAAGATATATGATAAGATACCGACAATCTTAAATTGGACAAATCGAATATTATGCCCTAAATCCCCGAGAAGGAGGTGGGTTTTACTCTTAAGATCCGAAGATAATTATTTAGGATTTAGGGTTTAAGATTTCCCAATTTCTGATGCAAGGTGATATATATATATGATATATTTTAGTGTAATGACAAGCCTTATATATCTTGAATAAGGTATAAGTATTTTAATTTCATAAAGGAGATCATGGGTGGCAAACCGAAATTTGACAAGAATATAATGGGTGGCAGATATTCTAAGGCCTAACTGAGCTAATTAAGTGTCAATTAGCAGCAAATGATATGGCAACAAAATACGAATAAAGATGATAAATATGAAAACAAAAATGATTCATAGAAATTCATCAACAAAAAATCAATAAATTTAAATATAGAAAAAAGAACCTACAAATTAATTTATAGATTCCCTAATAACGAAAAATATAAAATATAATTAGATAGACCTTATTTTCAAAATAGAACGAAACTATTAATCTCAAAAATCAAAAATTCGAAAAGCACGAATACTTTCCTACAACCTCAAAATAAATAATTTAAATATAAAAGCCGTGCTCTCAAAGAAAATTCGAAGATTATCAACACCAGAATTCGCAAGAATCCCAAATTTTAGTGAATAATAATATCTCGAGTTTTAGTAGTAACTACCTAAATAAGAATTTGAACTAAATCATAATTATTTATATAACAATTTAAGAAGATAAAAAAAATTAAAAGATACTCCAATATCTAAAATCAAAGAAGAATTTTTATAGATAGTCAACACAACCAATTTTTGAACGAATAAATAGAAGTCAATTAAGACAAAGTAATATATCGTAGATTACAAATATCAAAAATCAAATAGAAAATATTATATAATACGAAATCCGGAATATTAAAATAATAATTATTCATTAACGAATGACAATCCCAAAGATTCTAATTAGAAGATTTAACTTTCGAAATCTCCAAATTCTAAGTCTCTGTATCGCATAATTAAATATATCATCTACCAATTAATTAAAAGAGCTTAGGTACCAAAAAAATACGAGACGAAGCTATTTCATTCGTACACAATAGAATTTCTAGTTTTGGGGACAACACTAAAGAATCAATATATCTATTCGACATCTACCTATATTCATATAAGAAAATCTAAATCTTTTGTAGAGAAATTATCGTCCCTTCCAAGATCTTTATTTACTTATAAGAAATAACAATATTATCTATCATTACCTTATATATATGTAAAGTATTTTTTTCCGCAAAAATACGAGCCTATATTCCGACACACCCTCTTCATAAATCAGTCGGAAAAAATAGAATAATTATAAATATATCTATCTCTCAAATACTACGCCTTATTCGCTCCCCTCGATACTCCAAACCAATCCGAATATCGTGTAATTCCTCCCAACAATATGGCTATATCTCGAATATCCAGAATTTCACTCGACCAAAACAAACTGAACGAAGAAATTCAATTCAACAAAAAGTACACTAAGAACCCACCCATCATAGCCTCAAATCATTTTAGAAACTATCTATGTTCAAAAACATATCGTACACCATACTTAGTGTATCTCCATGAATATCTAGAAATAATAAACCAATAATGCGCGAACTTTGAAGAAAGAGTCCAATTTGTATTCTACTTTTCGATTCATTCATCCGCTCGTAGCCAGTACGGCTGCACAATAAAGCAATTCAGCCTATTACACCAATATGTATACACCAGTCATACTCCATTCTAACTTTCACATGTTTCGAGCCTCCATTTACGGTACAGCGAAACAAAATTCGTCTTAGTAATCGTAAATTCCGAGACTTTCTTCAATTTATTGTTTCAGATTCTCAGGATGATACTCTCTAATCCTTAATCTTTCTCTACCGCTGCATCCAGAGAGTCTAACCATGCCAGCAAACCCATAATGCACTGTGCCCCTCAAGCAGCAGTCCGTGCCGACATATGCCACTCACACCTCCACCTTCATCTTCATACCGATTCAGCTCGATATGACAGGCATTTTCTGGACATCGCTTCTCTCATTGCCTCCTGCATTGCTGAATTTGAATTAGTCGCTAGCCCACTCCTGACATATGACATATACCCAGTGTCTCTGTTGAAGTTTAACTCGCGACTATTTTCGTAATCTAGCATGTTTAAGATGATCTTGGATCAATCGTCTGATGAGGCCCAGATTATCTACTTTTCAGCCGGAGCCGTGTCATATCCTTTACTTTCAATGCAGGTGGTATTACTAGGTAAGTCCGATTCTCTGTCGTTTCCTCTCTTATCCCTTATCAAGATCATGAAAATTGAATGTTCCAAAATTCAATTAAAGCATCGAATGTAGCATGGATTCGTGGAGAATGATCTTGTTTGTCAACAATTTCTTCCACCCCCCCCCCCCCAGCTGACCAAGAAGGTGTTCTCTAGGGGTTTCGGATCAGGTTTAGGAGATTATATTCGAGCTTGGCTCCCTCGCCCGACGGCCCCTGTCTGTTGGGCTGCAAGTTGCACCCGAGCCTTTGTGCACGACCGCCTTCACACACATTCACTCCAAACCCTGAACCCGGAAGGAATCCTAAACGGCAAACATACCCTTCATCCTGAACAAAAAGTAAACCCTAAATCAGCCCTGTACCCTCAATTCTAAACCCCATATAAACCCTCCAACCCGAAATCATGTCCGCCACGACTTGCACTGGGCCGAGAACCTTGCCGACACACAAGCTCAACTTTGGCATCCTGCGCAATCCCATCGACTTCGGCTGCGAGGTGTCGGCTCGAAGGCTGCTGTCGCAGGAGCAAACGGTGAAGGATCACCGCGTGTGATCGAACCTTGCTTATGTCCCCGGAAAGACCCGAAGAAACGATCAGGTGAATCTAGACGTCAGCTAGCCGTCTGAGAGCGTCACTACACATCAGCGCCCACGTATGACGGCAATCCTCAGCTGTGCAAAGCTCTTCCAAGGTGGCGGACAGTTTGCAGTGGGTTCACCGCACCATTCGTTGCCTGCTGACTCTCTACAAGGCTGCCGCTGTCGTGCGGAGGCCTAATGACAGCAGCTTGCTGCTCGCTTCTAACTTTGCGGCTGGCCATGAAGTTGGGCTTCGCTCCCGAATCACGATTTACGACACCGTGTCAGAGACCCGACAGTCCTCTTACTGACTGCAGCAGGAGAAGCCGCGAACGATGAGAAGGTTCAGCATGGTAGCCTGAGATCATCGCACCCTCCAACTCAACAAGCAGGGCCCGCCGGGTCCACCACGAAACACTTCGAGAAGCATACGAACAAGCAAACACCAGGCGCCGCCAGGGCACCGTCTGCACCTTTTGATCAGGCGAACTCAGACATGGAATGGGCAGGGCGCTCATTGCTGGTTACCGGGGGGCACACATGTGTCGGATAATCCAAAACAAGGTTCCTACTCACCAGCGGCACTGCTCGCCCTCACTCTTTTTTGCGCGCGAAGCACTCAAAAGGTCGTTTGCCCTTCGGGCTC